GGGGGGGGGGGGGGGGGGCAGTGGCGGTATGTGTGAGGGTGATTGCGAGCGTTTCTAAGCGAGAGTACAGCAGTGTAGGCATCACGGCATGTTGTGTACGACATGTGTGCGTGCGATAAGCGGCTCGATCGTTGGTGGTTCGCTTGATTCGGTGTACGCAGGAGGCGGCACGATCGACAATGTCATGTCCCACAATCATGGCACATCAAGTCAACCATAAGGCGCATGCTCATACGGCAGCAAACAGCTCAACAGCTCGCCCTATGGCCAAAGTGCCCCCCAGCCAGGCAAAAACAACATGGGCAGAGACAACGGCAGCTAATTAGATCAGCCTCACCTCCGTACAGAGGGTTTCCCTTCGAGTCCACCGGAGGCTTTCCCCACTCCGACGAACCGAACCCGTACCGGGCCCCCGCTGGGATAGGAGCGTTGAGCCCCGGGATTCGGAGGTGCGGATAGGACAACGGCGGCCCGTATCTTTGCATGTTGATGAGCCATGGCGGAGGGTCGTCCTCTCCGATGCCCAGCGCCTGCGGCCACACACCAAGCAAGCGCCACCGACAACAATACCCCGGCGGGAAGCAGCAGCGTGATGATGATATGAAGGCCGGGCGTCGATTCCCATCTCATTTCGCAAGCTTTTGTTGGTGCGCACGCGTCACAAGCGCGCTTACACACTAAACTAACTGCGTGGGAGACATGTCCGAAATGAACAACATACTCACTACGTGAGCCTGACAACCAACCAAACACGCGGAGTACATGCCGTGTAGATACCGTGCCATCTACGACGCACGTATTCGTCGACGCTTCTCTTGCTCGCGATCTAAACGTGACCAGCAAACGAAAAAAAAAACAAGACCGAAGCAACATAGCGCCAAACCTCTCTCAAGTCTGAGCTGATGTGCCCGGGCTTGTGCTCCTGGTTCTTGGCCTCAAACTCCTTGCCCTCGTAGTACAGATCCCCCGGGTTTGTCAGCGGCGGCTTGGTCTGGTGCTTGAAGAACGCGTCGTGAAGCACCTACAATCGGGGGGNGGGGGGGGGGGGCAGTAGGAGCACACACGTGAGCAATGTCGTACGGTACGGTTTGCAGGAGGAACTTCCAACACCCAGACACACAGAGTTAAGGCTAAGGTTTTCTGGAGACGGATGAAACGGCTTGACACCGCAAAATGCAAAAAGATCGTATGCATAGACGCCAACACCGTTCCCGGTCGTTGTAGGGAAGGATATACAGCGGGCATGAGCGGTGCGCATCGTCGGAAAATCCGTTTTTCCCATGTGTTCCCAACTACGTTGTGTCCCTTCATATTCCAGCTCCCCTTTCAGAGGATCTTTGAAAAAATAATAACAATACAACATATACCCCGGGCGAACAGCCCCCGGAGGGATGCCAATGTATTAAGACCATTTCGGCGGCTGTTGTGTTTGTGTGTGTGTGTGGGGGGGGGGGGGGGTGATAGTGGTTGCCGAGGGCGTTTCTGTTGTTGCTATCATCAGGGCTGAAGCNACGGAATGCCGCAGAATTTTCGTGCTCGCCGCGGTAGGTGGCGGACGGGGATCTTCTCAAGCGGAAAAAGACTTTTCACCGGAATCTGGTCGGCAAAATTGCCAACGGGATGACTCCCCCCTTTTGGGGGGGGCGTCGTTTCTACGAAGTTTTCAATTCTTTTTGTTCACTGCTATGCTTCTCGCATGCGTTCGATTTATCGTGACAACGGGATAATCAACCCTCCTTCCACTGCTGTAAATGGTTGAGTTTGACTACATTGCATTTCGTAGCAATCAAAGCTTCGCTCTCGTTTCGTGTCAGAACTACATAATCTGGTGGAGAATATTGTGACGGCCACCAAGCATCAACAGCCACAGGACACCGTCCGAGCTATTCCGGGGCCCACGTCAACACGCCGCGTGCTCATGTCAGTGCATAACCGCCGCACCTGATAGTCGATGTCGATCTTCCCCATCTTTGGAGCGACTCTCTCCCTCTGCTTCTGCTTCGCCTGGGAGACAGACGACGGCGATAGGAAAGATGCCCACAGGACGACATCGTCCCGAACCGCAACCAAACAAATAGGTGGACCAAAGAGCGAGACATAACGGACAAGGCAAACAGGCAAACAGGCAAACCAGGAGCGTGGGAGGTGCCGCGTGTTTCTAGAGAGGTACAAGGAATACCCAGGGGGAATGTCGAACCTCCGACGTAATCGAATCTACGATATCATCGAATCTACGATGAAGTGTCTGGGGAGAAGGCACCGATGCCGCAACCACTCATCACGCCCATCTGCCGTGTGAGTTTCCCGTTTGTAGAATACAACCGGACGTCAGGAACACCAAGAAAAGAATCACCGCCTTTCACAAAAAACCTAACTCCCACATATCATACACAATAGAAAACAAAGCAGAAGTAACGAAATCATCAACCCAATCTGCAGGAACGTGCAGAGCCCCCCCCGCCCTCCCACTGCCGTCTTTCTCTCGTCCTTCACAAAAAAAAAAGCAGACAGAAACCCACGCAACGGCATGCCATGCACAAACAACACAGAAGTTAGACGAGACGCAGCAGCCATGCAAGCCCCGCTCCCCCCCGTCACCTTCTTTTGACTGTCGGCCTCCTCGATCGCCGCCCTGATCTTATCGATGCCTGTCATGGCGATAAACTCCGGCAGCTCAAACGGCGTCTTCTCTATCCCTCGCTTCCCCTGCAAGTACTTTCGCTTCTGGCACCAGTGTCGCGGCACCGGCACCGTGTTGCGGTAGGACTGCGCGAGCGGATTGCAAGACAGGAAGAAACGATAATTGACGGGGGAGGGTCGTGCCGAGGTCTGCCTAGCGGTCCCAGCTATGCCTAACAGCAGAGACTCGAGGCCATTGAATAACCACTACTTTTTCCAGGTGGGGACACCGCCAATGATTCCCCCTGCAGACATGCCTCCAACAATTCGGGGCTACCTCTCGACGATTATCTTCAATACGTTCCGCAGCACGAATTCCTTGCTACTGGCTGGTGTCTTTCCATTCCGTATTGAGGGAGAGAGGAGGGAACCGAGCACAACCTACACGGGGTTGTTAGTGCTCTTTTTGCTGCTTGCAGCGCAACGGGGCTATACGGTGCGCGGTGCCGCTTGTGACAAAGAGATCACCACGCTAGAGCGGAAAAACAAGAGGTGGTTGTTGTCTTGTGGCGGAGGTGGTGACTGCCTGGCTGCCTGACTGCCTGACTGCCTGACGGGGCTCGGCAGCCGCACGTAGATGAACAAGCTCCCTGTCTCGTGCTCATTCGCACCAACTTGATCAGCCAAAACGCGAACACCTCAACAACGTGCGCTCGCCTTCACCACCCTATGCATCCCCGCCAAGCGCGTTCCTGACAGGGGCCCCGTCTTTAGGCGTGAGTAGCCATCTCTTTCCGTGTGCTATAGCACAAGAATGGCGTGCCTAACTCAAAGTCTTGGCCAACCCAATGCCGGTCTTCACGCAACCCATCAAAATGCAGAGAGAAGCATCCACTGCTCTGTGCAACCATGTCCGCTTCGCCATTGTCGGTGCTATCGTATCTACTTCACCCTCCCCTACACATGAAACCTAGCCTGGGCCGGCGAAAAACCGGCATATTGCAAGGATGCGAGGCCAGTAGTTCTTATCGACTAGATACGACATGAGTACCCCGCCCCGCCGAAAGCAAAACCCACCTTGAGAAACACCAGCATGCGCGGGTCAGCCGCCGTCACGTCGTGCGCCTCTACCACGTCCGGCCGCTGCACGAGTTGCTTAAGCTCTGCCACCGAAAGTCTGCTCTTGAGCTTTCGCGCTTTCCGGGACAACCGGGGCCCCGCCCCTTCCTCGTCCGACCCCTCCTCCTCGCCGTCGCTCCCGCGGGCCGCCGCCGCCGCCGCCTTCTTGCTGGCCGCCTTCGCCGCCTCCGCCGCCGCCGCCGCCGCTTCCGCCTCCGCCTCCGCGGCGTCGGCGGCGGCGCCGCTGGCCTCGTCCGCGACCTTGGTGAACCGCTCGAAGATCTGCTTGAACTCCTCGAGGGAGGCGGCGTCCATCTCGGCCCCGTCGAGGACCGAGGTGTTGTCGGCGACGTACTCCACCTGTTATATTGTCGCGGGTTTCCGAGATAAAAAGGCCGGTCGTCCAATGTTTCACGGGGTCGTGTTGGTTTCGAATAAACGCGAATCCCAGTGACAATAACAACAAGCCACAAGGCGCATAAGAACAAAAAATTGGGGAGTTGAAAAAGAGAGGGAGGAGATGGCGAGAAGCATAGCCCATTCTTGTTCCTTTGAGTGGTGAGCGGGGGAACCCTCCAACTCGTTCATGTGGGAACAAAGCCTACGAAGTGGTGGTCGAACTGACGAAGGAAATCAAGCAAATGTCGTTGCTGTTACTGTTGCTGTGTCTTCCGTTTCGTTGTTGTTGATTTTCGGATTTGGCATGTGTTCTTCAGCTTCAGGTTCACCCGGCATGAGCCTCCTCAGCTTCAGCGTGACGCTAATATCCGGCCGATGACCTCTGTGCTGCGGGCATAGAACCTGCCGAATGATTCCGCCCCAATATCCGGCGCCCTGCCATTTGACCAAGGTAGTCGTGTTTTCCTCGTTGTCCTTGGTCTTCGTATTACGGGGAGTCTTGTTGAACGACCCGTTGCCTGTGCTATTCGTAGTCACCACTCGGCCAAAAGTTCCCGCCATCCGTCTGTGTTCTGATCTACGACGACTCCAGCTCTCGTCCTGTTTCCCTTTTCTTCTCAAAACTGGAGGAAGGGAAGGGAGGGTGTCACACCGACGATAGGGCAAGGAACAGTACACTAACCTCTAGCCTCGCACAAGTGCGACCAATCACCGGCCCGTACCATACTTCCTTTGCCCAACCTGGTAAACAAGACACCGACGATAGAGTAGCTTCTTTGTCGTTTGACCACCGAGGGCTAATTCGTGGTAGAGGAGAAATAGCACAAGGCAACTATATTATGCATCGTCGGAGCAAACGTATCACATTGACAAGGAGGAGGAAGTGTCAACTGAGTTCGCATAACTTTGCGCAGGCCACAAGGACACATCACGATACGCCATTTGTGCCTTGACACAAAAACGCCTCCCAGCCTGTTTGGAGCGTGTTTCGAGATCGCCACAGCTCTTCCAGGCGTAGATACACAAGGCCGTCCGACAACTATTGCTACTGCTATTGTTCGTGAATACCTACGTTCACAACCATCCCATCTGCGACTGCTGCTCTGTCTATCTTTTCGCCCCGTCACCCCACTAGACCTCACACGCAGGCGGCAAAAGCTCGGCGCCGTTATCGTTTTGTGCTGGCCGCGCGTGGGAGCAGCAGCCTGAAAGCTGCACCTACGGTACCGAAGGACCTTGGTGATCGCGAAGGCTGGGGGATAACAGGGTAGATATCGCCCGGTCGAAATTTCCGTGAGGATGATCAACACATTACCTCTGATTTTGGTTTCTAGTTATCACCATCCTTTTGCTTGTGTTTACCTCCCTCACGGTCCTCCCTTCCTGTACTGGGCAAGTCCAACCGTACGTGTATGCAAGTGCAGAAGGATCCGGCGGGGCGGCTCGCCTCCATTTTTCAACGCTTCTGTGTAATCGAATGAGAAAGTCGAGGCGTTCTCTCGCCATGACGTTTTTGGAATCAAAGTATGATGTAATTGACTGCTGGTGAAAACCTATCGAATCGTGATCGGCTGTCAACACTGCTGTGTGTGTTTTCGTTCTATACACTGCTTGTAGTCCTTAGACATTGAATCATGGATGTTCGCAATTGCCAGAGCATTGTGTAATGTATTTCTAAATTCGTCCCATCTGGGCGACAGCCTAAAGCTAAAGGTTACGCCTACGTAACAGATTGGGTGATACGGGAGGAAAATCCGAATCTCTTCTCGTCGGGTACTTGCTTGCCGATGTCTACGTACTCACGACTACAGAGCAGCAATCGTATTTACGCTATTAATAAATAGATACGATAAGGAAATAGAAATAGTTGTTTAAACCGTCCATTGTTGTGCAACCGCCAACTCGCGCTGACCTACCTCGACACTTTCTAGAGAGAGAGAGGTGCTGTGTGCGTGAGACAGAGGGAGAGGTCAAATAGTCAATAGCAACTGTCACCGACGCCAACGTCTCGTACCTGCCATGCACATAGTTCTGTTGGTGGCTGTCGGTGCCAAACTTGCGATCAAATATGCCTAGCGCAACTCAATCTTATGGTACCACGCGGGCTGTTGGGGTCACACACGAGCACACGAACCACACCCACAACTACACGCCCGTCGCACCAAGAGCCTGTCTTCTCCTAACCTTGGTTGCAAGAGTCCGCGTACCGCATACTGGTGTAAAGGAGGGATATCAGAACAAACAGAGGAGTTCACCAGAGGGGACGGCTGACCTGCTGCTGTGGACGTTGCAAAACAGCTGTTGCCACGCACAGACAGACGGCGGAGAGCATATACACACACATGATGCAAACGGTACAAAACCGCCCGAAACCCCCACCTGCACATCCGACGCTTCGTCCTTCGGTGCCGGCGGGGGTGGCCACGAAGCCACGGCGACGCCATTCGATTCCGCCATAGATTTCTCCACCACCGCGCCCTCCACGGCCTGCGCCTTTCTCTGCTTGTTTTTTTGCCGTCGCTTCTCGTTCTTGGTCAGCTTCCGCGGCGCCGCCGCCGTGCCGCCATTCCCCTCTCCCTGCCCCGCTCGCCCGCTACCATCGTTCCCCACCGCCGCCTTGGCCACGCCGTTTCCGTTCCTGTCGTCGCCGTTGCCACTGCTGCCCTTGTTTTTCGCGAGACCGAGATCGGATGGCGGCGCCTTACCGTTCACCACGCCGGCCATGTTGTTCACCACGAGCCTAACCATTTTCGCCCTACGAACAACGCCTGCTGCTTTGCTCCTCTCGCCTCTCCCGAAAGCGCGCGATCCCGTCGGCAAAACAACGATAGAGCGCGCCGCTCAGCTTCCTTCCAGCGAGTGACCAGCTCGGATATAGCGATTTGCCAGTGTCTTTGCTCCGTGTGCTCTCCACCGTTCGGGAGTGCACGAAGCTTGTATCAGGGCGCGTTGGTGCCTACCGCGTCCGTGGGTATGATGCAGGGAAGGCCTGCCTTCCAAAAGCCCTCTCTGTTACGCCTGCGGGCCTTGGATCCACGCAGATCAGGCGGGATCTCTGCCGACAGCAATACAAATCAACGGCTGTGCTATCTCTACGCCAACCGAGTGTTGCTCCCTTTCCCCCCTCTGCCTCGTCCCTCGGTCCTAGTCTTGGACCGCCTCTCGCTTGTGAAGGTTAAGGTTCACACACGGCAAGATGGTGTTGTCAGCCGTGCATCCCGCGGAACCCCCAGTGGCAGGTTGTTGTACCAGCTGCAGAACCCCGCCGATGATGCCTTGCTCTGCTGCTGGCTGCTGGGCATCTGAGCATGACCATGTTCAGTTCAGCAGCAGAGGGCGAGGTGGAGCGATTGAACAAAAACCACCTCATGCGAGGGTTTGAGTTGCGGGCAAGCTGACCTCACTCGTGGTGGGCCGTTGAATACAGGATGCTTCTGCCGGCGCCAGCAGCGGATGTTGTTCGTCTAGCCCTTCAGAGGAGGAACGGCAGTGATTGCCTCCGCATCCTCGTCATGCTAGCTTGCTTGGCTTGCTGCCGGCGAGGGAGAGCGGCTCTAAGCCTCACCGTCTGCAAGGTTTGTATGTGTTTGTGTGCTGGAAAGGAGCTCTGAGAAACATGTATGTCAACTCTGTTCTCCTAGCAGTCTATGCATCGGGCTCAGTTTTTGAATTCGCGGTGCCGTTGCAAGTTTGAAGTTCTTGAGGGTCTTCCATCCTCCCCTATTGAGAGTTGGCTTGGTTTACCGCCAACGATTTCCGACAAGGTGGCGCAAGCCTTTCAGTGGCGCCTGCTGGATATACCAATGGCCGGTGTCTTGCCAATGCAATGCCTGGTAGTAAATGAATCTAGGTTTGTGAGCCTGAAATAACTCCGTTCATGGCCGGCACACATGGCCGGCCGTAGTTTGTTGGTGGAACACGCCGGCATGGCGTACACAAAGGGATGCCCCCTGCGATGTAATCCGCGTGGGAGAGACTGCGTGACGAGGACCTCACCAGGATGTTGCGACGATAACGGCACCACAATATCCACCCTATTCTCCTGAGCGAAGCGTCGTCCCGGAACTTGTTGTTAACTACCGCTCCTGGACACAGCAGTTAGACCTGCCAACCGTGACTGCTGGAACCTGCGCCGCATCCCAATCCGACACGCTGCCGCCTCCCGCTTCCGACGAGCCACAGCAAGAGAGGATTCCGCTGCAAACACACATCAACCGCGTGAAAACAAAGGCGTTTAGACATAGATTGCCAATCTGTCGGTGGCCCAGCTCACACGATGCTCAATGAACGCATGCGGAGCCCCCATGCCCCCGCCGGGTGTCTTATCTCTTGGGGCTCACTTCTGTCGATTACTTCCGTTCAACCCTCTTGTCAACACCAAACGATCACAGGTCACGAGCCCTGTCTCCTTTCTGCTCTGCTGCATCGGCCTGAGTCGAAGGAGAGATCGCAACAACGGAACCCTGCTGTGCGGGAATGGCAACGGCGACACCAACGCGGGGCAACGTCCGAGAGGACGAATAGGGGGGTGGACTAGCGCGTTCAGGAGGGGCATCCCCAGCTGCGAATCCGGGGAAGGGGGGGATCTGTTCGACCAGCAGGGCGGTGGAGCGCTTGCGTCGAGATCGGCACTGAGCGAGGCGACGCTGGGGGCGCGCGGTAGGCGGACGGCCTTCGAGAGGTTCGGGGAGCTGCGACGGGTCGGCGCGTGCTGCGACGTGACCCTGGCCGTGGGCAGTAAACACTTCAAGGCGCACAAGTGAGGGGGCGCGCGTTTGGGGAGGCTTGCGCGTGTGTGGTGGGGGGAGGGGAAAGCACGCAGGGCTTGAGGACCAGAGTGTACCAGCCATGACGGTGGTCGTGGAACGGAAAAGATTTGCTGTGATCAGCCCTCACACATGAATACTCCCACCGTGCTCATTCGGTGCGGTCGCGGTCTTTCCCTAACCCGGGAATTTTGGTTGATAGATTGCGACGTGCTCTAACCGATGGTAAAGTGGGGTGTGTAACTAATCACATTCAATACCCTTCAAAGTCCTGCACCCCGAACAACCGGAACCGACAAAAAGGTGTGTCTTGGCAGCCCAGAGCTCGCCGCTGCGCGCCATGTTCGAGGGCTCGTTCAAGGAAGGCAGCGAGGACGTGATCTCGCTCCTGGACGTGGAGCCCCACAGCTTCTCGCTCCTGCTGGACTTCTTCTATGATCGCGGGGTCGAGGTCACTGACGAGAACGTGGAGGCGCTGCTGGACCTCAGCGCGAGGTATGGCGTGTCGCTGCTGCGGCGGCACTGCTGCGCCTTCCTGGCGGGCTCCGCTAGCCCTGCTACGGCCTGCTCCCTGCTCTCGGTGGCCGACCGCTACGACTGCCACAGACTGCGGAGAGTTATGCTCGCGTACACGCTAGAGGTAAGTTTTTTTTTCTCGCTCTCGTGTGCGTATGGGCCGTTTTGTGCTCCAGTCGGAAATCGATCCTGTCGAACAGGCGGGGGGGGGCGTACTTCTTCGTCGCTTGTTGCCTTTTTCTAGAATCGTTACCTTTGACCATGCAATGAGAACCGCCGTTCCTTCTCCTAGGAGAACTTGCCAGCACTCGGGCGCTTTTGCAGGGTCCGCGGCGTTTGTTCAAAGTAGATTCTTGCTTGTTCCTTGTAGCCTCTCCCTTTGTAGCGCCGTCAGGCCACCGTTGACTTCCCAGCACGGTCATGACTTGGGACGGGGGGGGGTTGAAAGTTTGCTGCTTGTTGAAAGTTTGCTCATGAAGAAGAGGTGTTCACGCGTTTTTCGAGTAGAAACCGCTCGTTAACCGAAACGTGAGCTCATCAAACGGCGCTCTGCACGTAGCGTTGTGAACGAGCATTTCTTGTCCACCGCAAGGGTTGTGGAAGCAAGCTCAATTCAATGTCCTAAGCGTCTTTCTGAGGCATTGTATCGCACGTGCAGCACACCCTCCCGAGTGTCCTTGGTCACCACCCGCCCCCCTCCCCGCTTCTCCACACGCCTTGTTTTTTCCACCACGCAGCGATTCCCGACAATTTGCCGCGACAGCTCTTCGGACGGGTTTCGCCATCTCTCCGCTGCTCTAGTTGTCGAGGTGCTCAAGGACGACCGGTTGGCTGCGGGGCAGGAGGGCGAGCTGGCTGTCTTCTGGGCGGCGATATCCTGGCTGGAAGCAGAGCATTCCCGTCGAAGGAATGCGGATGAGGCGAGTTTTCTCCCACTCGGGAGGCCGTCGTTGGTTGGGTTTACCGATGGGCTCGCGGCGTTCATGTTGGCGTGACATTGGACGGGATGGTAGCGTTAGGCTTGTCAACCAGTGGTGTTATTGGCATTTGTGCTTGGAGCACTGTGTGATCATCGTCATACCATTATGCACGTGCGGCGACGAAGACATCGTCGAGAGGTATGGATTGCATTGGGGGGGCGCAAGGTTGGGCGCACCAGTTTTGGAACCCGAACCCGTACGAGATGCCTCACTTCCATTGTGTCCTGTTCCTGACGCCCCCCCCCGCGACGCGGCGCTCTGTCCGGCTCGTTACCCTCCTCGGCTTCAAACCCGCCGCCGCAGGTGCTCTCACACGTGCGGTTTGGCCTCGTCTCGGCCAAAGCCATCGCCGACGCCGTGGAAGCCCACCCCTTGATGCAGTCGGCGGCCGGCAAGGCCTTTGTGCACGAGGCCTACCGTTACCAAGCGCTGCCGCCGGAAAGCCGGGACAACTTCGCCTCGTCGATGGCGGCGCGCGCCCGCCGGCGAACAGCGGCCGGCGGTGACGGTGGCCGCGGCTACCGTACGGGCCAGTCACCCTCCGCTGCTCTGAAACCGGACCATGGTGATGGTGTAGGTGATTTTTCTGGATGGCTGAGGGTTGATGGTTTTGGTGATGACCAAGGGGACAGCAGTAGTGATTCTTCGAGTTGCGAGGTTCGGGGTAGTGGCGCCGGGGACAGCGAATCTGAGGGAGGAGAGGACCCTCCGGTGGCGGGGGGCGAAAGTAGCCGGCACGGTGGTAGCAACGGCGGCGCCGCCGCCGACGGTGGCATCGGTGACGGCATGCGCTCGGCGCCTGTGTCTGGTAGTGCGGAAGAGATGAGCGCAGGGAGGGAAGAATCGGCGAGGGGGGAGAGCAGAGTGGGGAACGAATCCCGTCCGAGGAAGTTGCACATGACCGACGGCAACCCCAAAAGAAGGTTGTGGGGGGCGGGGACTCGGATGTACGTTTGATCCGCTGGCGATCTGGGCCGCCGGCGTCGCCAGGTTCTATCACTGGAGGGTCGCCTTGAAAAGCTGCGTATGTAGACACCCGCAACCAGTTTCGGTGTAAATACTTTTACGCAGGGTATCCCTGGTGTTTGTTTTGAGTAGCTCGTGATATAATATGCTGTTATGAGACGATGGATGCGCCCTGTGCGTGCCTACACTTTGGCATGATCTGTTTGATGCGTGGACGAGGAGGGGGTACCGCTGGCATGCCTAGACTATAGTCTTCAGACGTTGTGCAATAACCTTCTGTTTTCCTGTCCTTTGAATAATGGTTTGGGTGTTTATAGATTCAGGTGGAATTTTTTTTACTTCTCGGTTTTGTTGGGGGCGCAACGTCTGTGTACCTTTGGCGAGATCTTTCAGGTGAAAGTCGGTTAAGGAGCGTTCTATGTCCGTTTCGCTTGTTTGTGGAAACTAAAAGAAGTAGCTTGTTTGCAATCCACGGTGTGCTTTCCGCCCAGTGGGCTACCGCTGCCAGGGCGGTGGGCCAGTGCATTTGCGATTGTCCTTCCTGGGTCTCTCTGAAGTCCCCAACAAGAAGGGCGCGCTTTGGTCCGTGTTTTCTGTCCGTGTGGCCTTTTCTGTCCGTGTGGCCGAGGCCAAAACCAGGACCTCCTGATATTTCAGGCAGCCCCAAATGCGGCCGGGTTCTCTCCGCGGCATGTAGCGTTTGGTGAGGTTCGCTAATTGTTGTATCAGCTTCTCTGAATAATTCAATCTCACAGGGGAGGATATTAAAAACGACCCGCCTTGCCCACACTGGGTGAGTACACCACCCCGAGCTCTTCTTTTGTCGTCCTATTGAATGTGACTTGAAGGGAGAAGAAAATACGAACAATTTCATTGCACTTGCCGTTGGTTCCTCTTTGAATCATCCCGTGTACTGTTTTCTTCAAGGACATCTATTTTGCTCTACGCATACAGTACCTTCGCTGGTATTACATGTGGTCTTCATTCAACACATCCCCAGTGATGGTGTGTCGTGTGTTGTGTAAGAACAGCAAGTCTTTCAGTCACAATGTTTTAGGTGCCTCCTCTGCAACTCATATGACACATGCATGCATGACACAACCACTCACTAGTTGTAGATAGAAAGCATGCACAAAAGAAGACATCACAACATTCATGTGCGTGCATGATCAAGATATCAAGACCCACAATGACAAGATACATGAGGAGTCCTCACCACCGGTAAAACAACCCTACAATCCCCTTCGCGTCGCCCCTCTTTTTCAAAGTTGACAAATCTCGCCGCACTTCGTGCCCGTCTTCTCTCGTCTCTCTCCTCTCCTCTCTCCTGTTCCCACTGCTGCATGACGCGCTCGCAAGCTTTTGCGTATTTGGTGCCACAGATAGACAGATTGGTAGAACGTGGAAGACAAGAGACGAGTGAACATATTAAATCATCAAGGACACCAACGCCCTCGCCATACTTACCCACACCGAACACCGCCATCGTCCCTAGTCCCTAGCAAGGAAGTGCTGCGTGCGGTCTACAACAGTATCGCACAGCTAACAGGTGCTTCCTGCCATGGACGATGAGTGGTCTACGAAGGCGGTGTGTACGTCGCTCATTGGTGCTGGCACAGTGCTCTGCGTGTTGAGGTATCTTGCGCGGTCGGTCTTGGGCACGAACGACAGGATTACAATGCGGGGCAAACACTGCCTGGTCACCGGCGGCAGCAGCGGCATCGGGAAGGAAGTGGCCAAGGTGCGCGCTAGCTAGTAGTGCGCACCGCTCACACTAGGCAGTTCGTCGGTGATGATCCCAGCGGCTTGCTGCCAGGTCGGATGTTGCTTGAGTTGGACGCATCATCACGTTGTACTGCTCTTTTTCGAGGATGCCAGCGCGCTTGCTTTTTCTCTGGGGACACCGCTGAATGCTGAAACCCACCGGTGCTCCGCCGTTTCCCGTCGCCGAATGTCCCCTTTACGCAGCAAGTAGCTCGCGAGGGAGCCCACGTGACGATTGTGGCGCGTCGACAGGAAGTTCTCGATGGTGAGATCTCGCAATCCTGTGATCTGTGGTCTAGATTCGGGGTGCAGAAACTTCTCACTAAAACCACAGCAGTAATTCCTTGGATTCGTTTGTACGGCGTCGAAAACCAGCTGCTTGTTTCCTCAGGTAGGCAAAGGCCGGTGCATACTGCTGTAGCACCCACTACTAGCTGCGCTTATCCGGCTGACCAACAGAGTCATCCATCCTAGCGGAGAAAAACCCAACGCGTCGTGTCTGTGTTGCAGACAACATGTGAGAGGGCTGAATAACGGTCACCTCCTATTCCGTGCACTTGCCCCAAAGGTACAGAGCAACATGGCGGCTTCGTTGCGATGTACACTTCGGTTCCCTTGTTCGTGTTTGGATAGAGCAGCAGTCTCATCACCCCCTGGAACGTAGCAGGCATTTACGCGCCGGCGCACCGCTTTTTTCTCTTGGGCACTCGCTATCCAGACTCAAGCCCTTTGCTTTCATGTCCTCTCAGTGGCCAAGGTGGAAGTGGAGGCCTGTCGAGAGTCGCCCGATCAGAGGGTGCAAGCGATTAGCGTCGACGTCGGGGATGCCGAGGCGGTGAAGGTTGCCATGGACGCGGCGGTGGCCAAGCAGGGGGCGGTGCAGGTGATGGGCGGTGTGTCGCGAAAGCGTAGCAGCAGCAGCAGCAGGAGCAACCAGGTGTTGTCGGGATTCTGTTACTGCTGTTCCAGACGTGCGTGTGGCATTGTGTCCTTCCATTGCATGGCACCTGTAAGAGCCCGCAACATTGTGTCACTTGAGGGTGGTATCCGCGCGGGCTCCCTCCCCCTGACAGCGAGTTGTAGCAAATGTTAATGTTTCCTTGTAGACTATCCCTTTCGTGTGCATAGCATAGGGCCCCAATTCTGCGCAATGTAGTCAACAGTCCGTAAACCGATTCTGCAGAGGCGCTGGTCCGTCAACCCCACGATGCTGCCGTTGTGCTATTCGTCGCTGCCCTCTATAGTGAAGCCTGCTAGGCAGCCTCTTCAACTACCCCTCCTTCCGCCGTGTCAATGAGGGTGCTTAGTGCCCCCGGCCACGTCCGAAGTAGGCAAAAAACTTCACAAACTTTGATGTCATCGTTGCCTTTCATTAAAGGTCTTGGCGAACTGTGCCGGATTCGCCATCGCGAGAGAGTTCGACGAAATGGAGATGGGCGACTTCGAACGCCTCCTCCGCGTCAACACCCTCGGGTCGGCCTACGTCACGCGGGCGCTCCTGCCTCCAATGAAGGCCGCGGGCGGCGGGCGAGTCCTCTTTACGTCTTCGATGGCCGGCCAGGTGTGGTCCAATCGGCGTCTCCTTTCCCCAGGGTGAAGAGTCGAATCTTTGCTCCTCCAATTCACAATCCATTGTACAAGTAGAGTCTCTTCTTTTTTCTCAGACGCGACAGCTGCTGCCCCCCCCCCCCCCCCGG